ATGAGGTGTAACTGGGAGCACACAGCAGCTCCCAAATTTCACAATTTGCAAAATTCACTAAAGCAGGGTTTATTGATTGTTTACGAGGAAGATGATACAGTGCTTAAAGGTAACTCATTCTGCAAATACATCATACTATTATTACATAACAAAATAATATAAATAAAGAGGCTTTCTTTTTTTGATACATTAAGTCCTGTTGCAATCAAATGTTCCTCAATGGACACTTTTGTTTGACAAAGAAATCGTTTTCTGCCCTGGCCGTGTTTGAGCATGTTTTTAGAAAAAATCTCTAACCTGCTTTTAAAAGCTATTATTTATATTTTAAATTCAAGAGAAAGGGAAAAATAAACTCTCCAAAAGCTCTCTAATGGGACTTTTTACAACCAGAATTCTGCAGGAACTTTTGGCCAAGGTGAATGCAAATAAAGGAAAGCTACATTTCTCATTTACTGGTAACAGGGAGTAGTTCAAAAGTATTTTTGTTTCTCATTTCTTTACCAGACCTCTGAGGTCTGGAAGGCTGCTCAGACACTTTAGGCATGTATCATTTTTTGAAATTATAATAAACGTGTTAAAGATTAATATTTATAAAAGATAGAATATCGCTGAAAATGTTGGATTCTTTTTAATTAGTTTGAATTATTAATGATCATTCCCCCAAAAATGATAATAATTACCATTATTAAAGGGCACACAGGAGAGAGCAATGGGAAACAGGAGAATTTATACTGTAGACAGTAGCTTTAGCAGTGTATTCTTTTTATTTTAGTTTAATTATTATTTACAAACTTTTACCATATGGTACCCGGGAGCTCATTTCCAAAGCAACACATGGATTTGGGAGAGGATTCTCAGACAGGAAGGTAAGAAATTTCATAGTATCCTTATTAACAAATGTAATTTCTCTTTCTTTATGTGTACTGTATGTTTTAATTTCTTCAACTGCATCTGTTCCTAGTTGTTCGGCAAATAGTGACCTGCTAACCTTATGGAGCCAGACAGATCCTTTACCTGCCGAATGAAATGAAATTCCTGTCAATAGCAGGAGGTGAGTGAACCCAGAGAACCCCTTTTGTCTAGAACAGAATCGATCCCCCCTCCTCCCGTGTTAACAATGAGATCGGAGAGCCATTTCGGAGCAAATTCTATCCTGATATAGGAAATTAATTTGCAACTCAACAGGCAGGAATGATTTTATTAAGAAATCTAGCATTTGACAAAACCGTCAGAGACGTAATTAACAGAAAAAAAAATGGGCCACATGTCCAACATTGAAGTCAATAACAGCTCAGGTTTCTATGAATAAAATATTTCTGAAGTAATTACCCATTGCAGAGTGCAAGGCCGTGTCAATATCATGGTCTGACACTGTCTGGATGAAACATTAAATTTGCAATTCACAAACTGACTCAACAAATGCCCTCCAGAAAAGTATTTTTCAGACAGCTAATCAGTATCTAACTGTTTGGCAATGGGATAGCAGCAGGGATGTCTGCAAATGGCCAAGTAATAACTATGAAGCATGCAGCTACGTACTACGTTTGTGATCTGGGGCCCTTTACAGGAACTGCAGGTTAGCATATTGCGGATTATGATAACACTCAGATACTCTGGTGAATCTTGTATTGGCGCCTCAATCCCCATGTGCTAACTAGGTTTATGCTTGGTACAGTATAACCCTTCAGTGGTCATTTTCATCATGCTGTGCTCTGCCAGAGAGACCTATAAGATCACAACATGAAGAGAACTCTGGAACCAGTGCCGGATTTCCCATTAGGCACTGTAGGAACACTGCCTAGGGCCTACGAAGGAGGGAAACGCTGGTGACGAACGAAAAATGAGCTGAAACAACATTCTTATCGATCGGCTTTAGGTGCTCCAAATCAATGATCATACGCTATCTAGCAGCTGTTCTAGAAACTAGAAGTAACAAAGAGACGGTCGCTCAACTCACTCCATCAATCACGTGGTTTAGCATTAGAATAGTTTAAAGTGCATCACGTCAATCAAAGTAATTCAATTAGCGTTCACCCCTCTTTTTGCACATTTCGGCCCTGCTTGGAACTACTGTTTACTACATTAGGAAGTAACATTCATAGGTACTGATGCCGTTGTGGCTGTCCTTATTTCACATGGACTGTGGTTTTAAGAGTTTTGCATCATATGCTGTCTTGAGGTGCAGGATCACTAATTCAGGTGGAAAGAAATACTGTTTCATCCGAGATGTATTCCAGAATTCTGTGTTGGCAATAATGTGAAAACTCAAAAGATAGTCAAGAAATAGAAAAACATTTTTTGATACTTGTGATCGGATAGTTTTGAGCCTTTTTAGTTTTCGGTGTAAGGTAAAAATGTATTTTATTAGTGAAAATATATAAAAAAACATAAATGTGCATTTTTGTCTTTCACCATAACAATGAATGTTATTTCACTTTGATTTAGGATATAAACTTTCCAGTTGAATTGACTCTCCTTTTCCACCATTAAAATACAAATCTTACGGAGAGAGAAAACAAAATGCCTGAAATCAAATTAACTATAAGGCGAAAAGCTCTTGTTGTTTTACACAGCAGATTAGCATGGCACTGAGATCATTGCTGTAGATTTCCATTTGTATTATCAATTGATTGTCATATTAAGTATCGTGATGCTGTTTTGTTCTTCCTATTTGCCACGGTTAGCTAAACAGAAAGGACAGATGGTGGCTTTATTTAGCTAGCATCTTATATCCTAGTAGAGGCTGACAAAATTGCTTTTTATACACCGTACATACGCACATGTTAATAAATAACATATTTGTTCTAATATGCCATTTATAATTTATTTTGGCACATAACTGATTCCTAATTCTGTCTTTTTCTTGCTGCTGGGATTGGGTTGTCATTTTACACAGTATGTGCTGTTTTGCTTCTTTCATTTATTGTGAGAGACAGAATGAACATAGTTCAGGTTTCTAATGCCCAGAACAATCATCGGCATTTTGGATGATGTTTCAGCTGTCACTGACAAATTGGGTCTCACCAATTTAATGGTGTGCTGTATGGTTATAACATCAAAATACAAAACGGGGAGCTGTTTGATTGGAGGTTTCCTTAAAGGTTATAAAAGCTAATAGATGGGAGGACACCATCTAGGTTGTGCTAATTCCACAGGTATCGGTAGCTTGTTGATCCAATGTAGTCATGTAGTCTTTGTGATTCGAAATCTGTCATGACTGATAAAGAGACTTAAAGAGATCTTCTTCCACACACCTGGCTCTCTGCCTGTGACAGGGATCCATGGGCTCAAAGGTGACCCACCTCATTGACCTGCTATATCTGGTAGCTTATCTTTGTGAATCATGCAGAAAGCTGATATTACATTAGGGGCAAAAAAATAATATGGGAAACTGGACCATTAAACTATGTTTATTGGTGTTTATTTTAATAAGCAGAAATATTTAACTTTTGTTGTATTTTAAGATAATTTAATTTCTGCATAATATGTATAATCTGGATTTAGGGTACTTATAAGGTAACTTGACTTGTTAAAATAACCATTTCCTCAAAACCACTGTGACACACCCTGGAGCAGGGAGTCATTGATACACTCTGGGAACATTGATTGGTAGACCAAACAGACACACAAAGAATCCATGAGGTAAAGCGCAGGTGCTCTTTTTATTTACAGTGTGCAGAAAAATACTCAAAAACATAAACCAAACAAAAGCTCCATAAAGAGTTATTGACTAGACTTCTTCAGTCCCTAGCTAACAATGCCCGACCAGCTAAGCAGCTTACTAGCTCTAAATGTTTCTTTATCTTTGGAACTTTTTAACACCTACAGTACATTTTTTTTCCTGTGGCTCAGTCAGTCAGTCCTTCCCTGTGGTGCCAGTTTGCAGAACAGAGGATCTGCTGTCTTTCCTGACAGTAGATATAGACTGAGAGCCTCCACTTCCAGGTGGTTAAATTGTAACCAGAAATACTGTATTCTGCCAGCTGGTCAGGTGAATCAGGGTGGAAGTTCATTTTCCACAGCATGCTGGGAAATGAGCTTTAGGAAAGGTAGCTAATGCCCTCTCACAACCATGCGCCACGAAACTCTCATTGATCTCATAACACAAACAGATTGGACCTGGAGTTGGAAAGCACACACCAGAGTGAACTTACAGTACATCACTTGTGCCCTGGGAATACACCATGTGTGTGTTCTGGTGGACACCAGTGACATTAGTGCCTGGTGTTGTACTGCAGTTGCACTATCATTGACCAGTTTGTGTGCATGACATATTTTATTATTCTACAGTTATTTAGAACATGAAGCACCCTAGCTTTCAGACTGCAGTTTATTCTATGCTTATTTTGGCTTCAGTGTTTTTTATTTTAGACATGAAAGTTCAGACTGTATTCATACACATTTGACACATTTCACTTTGGTACTGTGACGCTAGGTTGTTAAACACATTCATCCATTTTTGAATCGCTTGATCCAATTCAGGGTAGCGGGTGGGGCTGGAAGGGGTGCAAGGCAGGGTACATACTGGACGGGACACCAGTCCATCACAGGACACACAAAGACACAGGCATACACCCACCAGGGCCAACATTCCTAAAACCAAGTTAACCTACCAGTATGTCTTTGGGCCGTTTGATGAAACCCGAGACACCCAGAAAACATGAAGAATATACAAACTCAACATAGACAGCACCCCAGGTTTGGAATCGAACCCAGGTCCCCAGTGCTGCAAGAGAGCAATGCTGACCACTGTGCCATCACTGCATGACACCCTGAACACATTCCGAATTACCTAAAAATGAAATAAGCTGTTTCTGAAGATTGATGATTCTTTTGGTCTTTCTGAACATCATGTTGCCACTATATCACCCCTATACACCCATTTTGGGGCATGTTCAGTGGCTGATTGTAGAGCCTTCTGACTGTAGAGCATATCTGTGTATGACCAGAGAGCTCAAACGAATTGTGTTTACTTCTTTAACTTTAAAATGTATCTAAATTTGTGGGAGTACCAATGTCCCTTCAAAATATTAAAAGAAATGTAATAGCTTATTATTGTCTGCGCAGGAAAACTAACTGGAGTTCAATCAATTCCACGAGTTTCTAACTGAGGAGGTCAGCATCAATGTTATGTTATTTCTGAACAATTTGTGTGGATAACGCAACCAACAGTTCTGTCGTGCTATTGTTAAGAGATGTAAGGAATGTTTTTGAAAATGTATGAATATGTGAAAAGAAAAAGCCCAACACATTCAGACATTGGGAAATATATCCTCTTTTTTCAGAATATATTTTATAATATTTTTTCCTTTCTTGAAATGCTTTTAATCTATAACCTTAAACAAATAGAGTAATATTGACATTAATGTGCATACAGTATATACAATAGTCACATTATTATTATTATTATTATTATTATTATTATTATTATTATTATTATTTACCATAGATAGTATGATAGAATCAGGCAGTTTTTTTATTTTTTTATCATGTTCATTTGTATTTTCCATACATCAACCAATGAGTAATTAATTTTAGTGTAAGATCTTTGCTGTTCAAACTGCTTATATGATTTTCAAGTGGATTACAGTCCATGCTTTTTGAAGGCTGTCCTTCCTTTCACTGAAAATATGCCACAAATCCTTTCAACTGGTGCATGAAATGGATGCATTGCTTCTTCATTTTCTATTTAATATGTGCAAGAAAAAAGTATTTTAGGCTCTTTTGTGCATTGATTCAGCTAATTTAGGTGCAGAAGAACATACTGTATCTATTTATGCAAGGTCACATTGAATTAATTCCAAATAATTTTCTGAGCATGAGTTTGAATAGGATAACCAGGTTAATATTGCTTGAATCAAAGAAGTTTTTTATGTTTTTGTTTTGATCTTTCCTGACATGCTATGGCTAATATGTGTGTCTCAGATTCGTGTGTTAAGTTACTTTTTTGGAGGGAGGGATGTTAAATAGATTCTAGAAAAAGGTCAGCATCATTTTACAGTAGCGTGTTTTGCATTAAGTTTGTATAGACAGTTATTGTTGAAGCACTCG